ATATACACACACACACACACACACACACACTTACATATCTATACAGATGTATATGTAAATATATATATGTCTATCAATGTATGTGTATATAAAATCATATTCTAAGTCCCTGTTGCTTTGCTATGTAGTCACTATGTTTTGTTCATTTATCTACCTTTATATTCTTCTACATTTATATTTTTCTATATTTATACTTATCTACATTTAGATATGTATGTGTTTATACACAAACCCATACATTTCTTGTCTACAAAACAAAAGTGCCTACTGGTTTCAGCCTCTTCGATAGCCTGCAGATATATTCCAAGAAAGGTGTGTGCTCTTGTAGAGTATACAGACTGACAGTTTATAAAAATGTATTTTCCCAGCACAAGGATTCACACTCCCTTGAAATCTTTCCCACAACCATCATTAATTAGGCCACGTAACAGCTAAGAGAGTTAGAAACTTGACTATGCACTGTCAGGTTAACAAGTCTTCAAAACAGATAATCATTACTATTGCCTGGTAGCAGTTTAGTGCAGCAATAGAGTGACTCTTCGATGTATTTTATAACATGTGCTGCTTCAGAGCACCAATTAAAGCCAGCAGATTGCATCACTTGAGTAACTAGTGGAGGTTTTATTCAAAGCATTAGGAACAGGAGCAGAGAGACCTCATCTGCAGTCTGCTCTTCTCCAGCAAGTCCATGGGACCACCTTCAGCCAGCGAAAACTTGAAAGGGGTCATCGCCACATGACCAGTGGCAGGCAGCTTTGCATATTCTCCCTTGCTACAGAACATTCTAGGATGCCAGTTTTGAGACTTGAGGCATAAAGAGGATATTAGCTTTTCCTTGTGGATGTATAAGCAAGTCTCCTCATATACAAAAATCCAGATAATTAATTCTTTATCATCACAAATACTTTTGGAGGTGTAGCTTTTTCCAGATGTTTCAATTACACAAATTCAGCACGACGTTTTTTGCTTTCATAATGCTGTGTTTTAAAAGTCCTGTTTGAGCCTCGTTCCCTTAGCCTAATCTGTAATATCACTTCACTCTGCATCAGTATATCATAGAAAAATGGTCTTTGCTACTGCCATTGGGATAGCATCTTTAAGAGAGTGTATTTGACAGTGGAAGTCTGGTTTTCTTAGGTGGAAGTGGTCCTTCTGAACACAGGTTTGGCCCCTGGCCCCTCCTCAGCTACTGTCTATTCAGCTAAAAACTGGTTCTTAAAAGATACAGAACCATGTAATTCTTACCCAGTAACTCTGGTTTCTTTCCAGACAGGATTTGGTAGAAGATGTGATAGTCTCTTTCACCCGGCTGCTGGAAAATCACTCGGGATTTCTCCAATAAATCTAGTTGCACAAAGGAAATAAGAGATCAGTGAGAAAAGCTCTCCAAACTTTGAGATGAGCAATTGTATTTTTTTAAAAAGGAGAGAGTTTTCTGCTTACAAATCTCAATATCAGCAGATGACAGCTTGCCTGTGGTTCCAAAATGGATTCGGATAAATTTACCCTAATTCACACAGAAGAATATTCTAATTAGTGCATGTAATATACAGAGAGAGAAACAAAAGATGCTGCTTGAAGGCAATCATTTGGCCCAAAGAATCGGTTTATGCTAACTCCTTGACTTTGCACAGGCAGATTTTCCACGAGAAATATCAAACAATGATGTTACGCTTTTCCAAATCTAAATCTATACATACAGCTATGTAATCGGCTTCTGGGTAAAGGGTAAGAGGGTGCTTATCTGCCAGCCTAAGATATGAGAATGCCCATAGCTTCCACTTTCACGTGGCAGGTTTACTGTAATGCAGGACTCAGAGCAATAAGCCTGGGCATGAGACACACAGGCTCCTTTTTGACTCCTCCTCATTTGCAATCCTAACTTACATGCAACAACTTACGTCAGAAGGGTGCTGTGATTTCACATTGCTTTGCCCATTAAATTTGCATGTTTGTCCCCACAAATTTCATAAAAATTGAGTAGTTTTCATTTATCGTATTCAAACACAATTTTTTAAAGTAATTAATCTCCATTCCAGCTGACAAACTCCTTTCATAATTGTGTAGCTTTCCACAGGTGCTTACAACCTCTGATCCTCTCCCCTTCTTCCAATTTCAGTTTTAACTGGATTTGTTAAGGAAGCATGGGCTGCAAACTCGGGCTGTCATCCTCATGCTATTCCTTGTGGATCCCCAAGCCAAGTTAAACCAGATGTGGCAGAGGCAGGGCTCTCCTGCAAGCCTGATGGAAACCAGGAGCGGCTCAAGGTCGTGTTAGCACTGAGAGACAAGCAGGGGCAGCTAACTCAGGCCAAAAGGTAGATAGTATAGATCAAAGGTAGGAGCACTGCTGCATTTGCGGGTCTGCAGAGGGGAAGACCTGGGAGGGAGCAGGGAATGTGGTGCATTTCTGACACTTAGTGACAAAATAGAACTTTTATAGGGAGAGGGATGAGTTAGGCTAAGTGGAAAACGTGGTAGGAACATAATGCTATGCAGCAGAGGCAGTTCTGGGGACGATCTGCTGTTGCTGTTCAAAGGGCTTTATAAAGCTAGGCTTTGGTTGTCTCATGATCATGTACAGTTTAAGCAATTATTCAAGGTGGATCTTCCTTTGTTTTTTTTTTATCTTTGATCCTTCCCCACAGTTTTTTCCTGGTTAGGTCCTACTTTATTATTCCTCCACTGTGTGGAGGGCAAAGTGAGAAGCAACTTATGAAGGGATTATTGCAGAGATGTTATTAACTGGCCATTGTTGAGGAGGACATCATTACATTGTGTTACAGACTTACAAAACGTGAGGAGTTGTCATTTCTCAGAGTTTTGGCATTTCCAAAAGCTTCTAGGGCTGGGTTTGCTTGAATGATTTGATCCTCCAAGGTTCCCTAGAAATCAAAGTTGAAACATTATTGAGAAACCCACAGGCCACAAACTCAGGTGTCAACTATAACTCACAGAGAGAAACCTCCATAACAAAGTGGTTTATCTCCACCCTAGGGGTGGCACAGTGTGAACGGCATAATAGCAGTATCGTTAGTCAATTCTGAGTGCTTAAGAGGCCTCAAACATTCTGCTGCTCTCTACTGTTTTGCTTTGCAGTTTGATATTTTATGCCATATGCATATGAAAGAAATCACTGTATCTTCCCATGTACCATGAAACACGTGGGGACAGCCAAGTGGATTTGTGTAGGAGAGGGGCTATTGAAGACAGTGACAAGCACTAAAACGCATTAGATTTGAAAGCACTCAGAACTTGTAATATTTGGGATTTTTGGAGATAAGGAAACATGCCACTCATACAAACTTCGGTTTGCTGAAGCAAACTGCTTTAACTGCCTGGGCTCTGGGGATCCTGCACTGAGGGAGCTACACCAAATGCAGTGCTGAGGTTTGTGACATGGGCTGACAGAGCCCACTGTCATTTTTAAGTGGAAAAGACAAAACTGCAACACTGATGACTTACCCCAGTTTTGGTGGCTGGTTGCTGGCAAAAGAGAAACACAATGGAGATTTTTTAAAAAAAAGAAAAAACAAAAAGAAAGAATGTGAGTACTAACATGAAGGACATCATTAAAAAAAATATTAGCAAAGTTAGATGTCTAGTGGTCACCAACACACTGGTAGGGCTTTTTGAAGTTTTCCTTCAAAAAGCACATGTGCCTGTTACTTTGCATTTACCATACACCACAAAATAGTCAAGTGCTGTTCCTATCCAGCTTGTTTTAACCTCTGCTCCAAATGTCTACCTGGTTTTCCTCTGGAGATGTTCTACAACCAACCAAAAGGCCAATCAACTAGACAGAGAAAAAAGACTGGCACCAGGTGGTGAGAATAAAAGGGTTTAAATGCAAACAGACAAGTTTCAGAAAATTAGAACATGCTGCACTTGAACTCTTGGATTATTTAGGGAAAAAAAGGATGATGGTAATGAAAATAAAAATAAAGTGCAACCTGAGCTGCTAAATTACATGGAATATTTTCCAGCCGCAATATCTGTTATTTGCACAATTGTTCCATGTGCACACCAGGTTTCAGACACTATTAACCTCACTGCACACACAAAGTTGGTTCTGAATCACTTAGTCACTTGTTAAGAGTGTGTTCCAGGCCTCAGATGAATGCATGTTAGATTTTGGTGACATGAGTTATAAGTACAGAATCCAAACCCGGCTGAAATTTTGGCCACGAAAGGCCATTGAGCCTTCAAGTACAACGAACCCTGTAGTGAATAAGCTCATAACAACACAAGATAAAAAGCAGATGAATACAGTATTCACTGTAACCTTAGCAAGCACATAGAAGCGGAATAACATTTATCCAAAGAGAAATTCAGAAAAGCTTATTGAAAAAATCTTTCATCAAAATAGTCATTTTTGAGGACAAAAAGTTTTCAACAAAACAGACATTTTGATGAGAAATTATAGTCCTTCTGAAAACTGTTTTTTCCATGTGAAAAAAAGTTAATCTTAATTTTTACAGTCTTGTCCTCTTTCAACCAGTTGTAACATAATCAGAAACATATTTAACACACACAAAAACTAGAACTCCTAGAAAAGAGCAGCAGCAACAAGCAGCTCTTCAGAACCAGGCATGTTTCTGCTGCTTGGTCTGGAGCGTAACAAGTTCAGGTGAGCCTTGCCTCTCCTCCTTCAGAGCAGCAAGCTCTTGGTAATGCCATGCAGAAGCAGCAGTATCTTTTCTCAGAAGTTTCTCTGCTAAACCACAGCTGTTGAGGTCTAGCACATGGTCTAGTTTTTGGGATGTAGACTTGTGAGGTTAGTCGAACACAACAGAAAAACCTTAGGAGTCTGAAACAAAGCAGCCACCAGCAGACTTACATTCTTTTTACCAGGTTCACCCAGGGCTGCCACTGTGGCAAAGTACTGGATGACACGTTTCGTGTTGACAGTCTTGCCAGCACCAGATTCTCCACTAAAGGAAGGAGGAAGATAACACAGGCATTGCTCAAACAGCTGTAACTCATCCTTTCACCTTCCTGTCCTGCTAGCTCCTCCCCACACACAGCCCATTCTCAGAATCACTGACCCTCATTTCTGTAGCCTGTTGTTTGGCTGTTTCATTGGAAACCACATTAAATTGACTAAATGAAGAGATGAACGAAAGGGTGAATGCCTACGATAGCAACGACTAATTCTTCAAGTGGCTGGGCTTAGAAATCTAGTACAAACCCACGCTACAATGAGCTTCCTATAAGGGCATGTAGTTTTATTATGAGCATCCAGACTGAGCATCTGAGGTATACCTATATACAGAGATAATGAATTAGAAAATGCGGAAAAAAGCCGCAGTAATTTGCCAGCATTATTCAGGAGCACATGTGAACTGTGAACTCTGTCATTCATGCTTGTCAGAAAATGAGGTGCCTCTTCTTTTCTGCCTTGGTCATCTGCCTCCTTTTAGATGTGTCTACACATAATTCTTAAACATAATTTGCAGCAAGAGCAGCCATGGTGAAAAGGAGTCTTCTGTATCAGAAAAGGGCAGCCACAGCAAGGCTAACCCTGGAAGAAGCTTATGCCTGCTTGGAATGAACACCAGATGGAGATCAGAAACGGGCCAGCCTCCATCAAACGCTTAGCTACTCCTTCCCTGTGGGGCTCAAGGCAGCCATCAGATGGCCAAATTGCCAGTTTCTGGGCTTGTGTCAAGTTCCAGGCAATTTAGCTGAGCTTTCAAGGGTCAACTTGTATTTCAGTAGAATTTTTTGTCTTGTAAGTTTTTCATTGCAACAGAGTCAAAAAATAAGCACTTACGTGATCAGCATAGACTGATTCTCTCGATCTGTGTAGGGGGGAAAAAAAAAGAAAAAAGAAAAGGAGAAAAGAAAAAAAAAGGGAAAAAGAAAAAAGAAAGAAAAAATGAGAGAGACAAACTTAGTAGGCTGTATAAATTGCTTATTATAATTGCAAATGAAAACCAACTCTTCAAGAATCAATCCTGCAAGGGACAGGAGAGAACCACATAAAGCAGAGATGGAAAGATAAAAGCTAGTATTGCCTATCCTCACCTCTAGCAGTGCAAGTTCTAGCCCTGCCCTGAATCCTTCTCTCATGTTTGGTTCAGGTCAATATTAAACACCTGTTTCCCCTGTGCCTGGGAAACTACAATAAAAAAAAAGTAATTTCCTGTCATCAAAACATTTATTTTCTTACTCCTGAGCATGCCTTTGCTCACATCTGATTCTTCTGCTCCTGTACTACTAGACCAGCCAAAGTAATTTCGCTGGTTTTTTCGCAGGCTGTTCCTTACATATGTTCTCTTCTTCAGCTGGCCGTGCTGCTGAAGACATGAGAGGCTACATGTTGGGCAGCCTGGCCACATTTCAGCCTTACCTGAGGAAAGAGCCTCTCCTTGCAGCCACACGCACATGCCCTGTGCCCAGCGCCTTCTGTGCCCTCACAGCTGTGGCACTTTCCACTTCAATCCAGGTGACAGCAGGGTGTTCCCACCGAGTGTCTTTGGGATTTACTCCACTGCCTCCCAGGACCCGGTGTGAGCACATCACTGCTGCCCTCTGCTGATTTTTTAATTTTTTTTCTTCCAATGACTCGAGGGTCAGAGCAAGAAAAACTCACAGGAAAATCTGGAGCTCGTTGATGCAGAGTTGATGCCCAGATCCACGGCATATTCATTCAAATCATATGTGCACTGCACCCCAAATGGCTGGTCTTCACTAACCTTTGAATAAATACCTCTTATAAGCATTAGAATACTGAGCATAAACTGACAGTACGTTTATTTTTTGAGGTTGGGAAAATACTTACAGACCTTTGGGGTATGGCCCTATTTCTGTTTCAAGCAGCTGTCTGAACTGGGTGAGCCCATCAGAATTTGTGCACCTTACGGACAACTGTATACTGAACTTACTATTACCAGAACAACTGCAAGGACAAGGAGGGCGGTTTAAAAAATAATTAAAGAACACATTTGATGAGGAGTGCCAAAGCCCCTGTTAGACATTTTTCGTACACCGCAAAAGCTCTTACAAACTTCCAGAACCAGTCATGTCAGCTAAATAAAATAAAAACAAATATGAAAGCAAACGCTGTCACTTACTACGCAGCATGTCATGGTAGGCGTTATCAGCAATGGAGAAGATGTGGGGGGGAGCCTCTGAGCGTCTCTTGCCTTTGTATGCAGCAACAACCTCCGACTTGTAGACAGGCAACCACTTGTAGGGGTTTATAGTCACACAGAATAAACCAGAATAGGTCTAGAGAGGAACACAAAACAAGAGTGAAAAAAACCCCCGAAACAACACTTAAGGAGTAAGAAAAAAGCATCCTGGTTAACCAAGTAGAACCTGGTGTTGCCAGTGGCAAATCTGAGTTTGAGTTCTGACCTGCATTTCAACCTTTGCTTTGAATTTCTAAAGCTACTGGTCTGCTAAGAGACTTCCTACGGGCAACGGATACCAAACTACAGATATTAAACAGCCTTCCAAAGAAGGAAAAGTATTTTCAAGATGACAATGAGAAACAGAAACAGACTCTTCTGCAGAAAAAAGTGAGCAGCAAATAGACTTTTGTCTGATTTTCTGCCTTTCCCACAAGAGTTGTTTCCTCTTGAAAACAGTCTTTACAAAGGGAAGAAAAGTTACAGTTTTTCCTGTTTCGGAGGAGAAACAATCTCCCATTATTAATTTAATGTAAGCACTGTAGTGCAATTTCCGGTGGATGTTCAAGGAGAAAACTACTTCATAACATTCTTCCCTAAAGCTGTGGAGTTTTTTCAGCTTTTGGAAAAATAAGGTTGGTGAAAATCTATCTTTATAGTCATTCTTTGGGCTATGCACATCAGTTAGCTCTGGCCTGGTTATTCTGAGGAGGAATGAGTTTTCAGTTGTAATCCCAGAAAATCAGTCTTAGCCGGTAACTTTTAAGGTGCTTAGTCCAGGTTTAAGCAAAAATCTTCAAAGAAAGGCAGTTACTATGTGGGCACAAGCACTATGTGAACATGAATTAATGAGCTAAATTACATTTTAAAAGTTTCAGGTGAAATCCAGGTGCCTTGGCCAAAAAATAGCACCAGAGCCTGCTCCAGAATGGCCTCAGTATGAGCCCCCAGGATATTTTCTACAAGGAAAAATAACCCCAGCCAGTAAATGGATTAAGGCAAGATGACAAATTTAATTTTCCACCTCTACTGATCTGCAAGCAAAGCGATGCTTTAGGCCATACATTTTCATACAGGCATTCTTAGAGAAATGCAGACAATATTTAACAATCAGAATCTAAATGGAAAAAATTGAATTCGTTCCTCTGACAAACACCAGAAACCAGAGCAGGAGTTGGCTGGAAAATCTATAGATCTCCCTGACTGATTTCAGAGACAACTGAATGCAGCAAATTGAGACCAAAATTTTGGACTCATAAAACTAGATGCTACTGAAGCTTGTTCTGGTGCTGCCAGAAGTTACGTCATGGGGGAGATGCAGAGCAACAGAAAACAGACAGAGTGAAACAACCAGAGGGAAACAAAACAGATGTCAGCACTGAAAATGAAGGGAATAAAATTACTGCACTAAGGATAAAAAGGCTCATACTTAAAAGAAGTTATACGTGTGCACTAAGCTTGAGGCATTGTTTCATAACAAGGAAATCTCTGTGTCTGGTATTGACACAGATTAATATTGGGAGAAGAAAAATAAACTAGGCCTTCCCAATGCCTTGATTGCTGAAAATAACGTCCTGTGACATCTCTAGGCAAGCAAACAAAGCCAAATAACTAGGCACCACCTGATTCATTCAGTTTTGTCTGTGTAGTCAGACACAAGCCAGCTTCATGCAATTTCTTTCCTGAAAAGATGCGAGTCTGGTACAACTTATTAAAGTCGTAAACTGAATATGAAATATGTTCAAACATGAAATGTGCACTTGAAATGCAGATTTCCAAATATACCCTTGTAATGACCCTTACATAGATCATCCAGTTGCTGTAGCGCTTTCTCAGGTTGTACAACACAGATGCCTCGTTCAGATGGGTCAGCATAGCCATATCCTCAATCATGTCAAATTTGGGAGGGTTCATTGACTGCACGTCATCTTCTTTTATAGTCATGGTCTGAAAAGACAGATAAGTATATAAACACTGGAAAACACTGGGATTTTCTGTTGCTTCATACATGTTGCAGAGGGATGTGTTTTCTTTTCCGTTGCAGAGGGAGGTCCTTCATCTCAAACCCAGACTATCTACATGATACTATTTGCTTTCATGGCTATCAGGAGAATGGGGAAATGCCAAGAGGATGAAAGCAAGAAGCGTGGCAGTATGGCCATGAAAGAAGACATGTGATTTAGCTACAGCCTGGGATTTTACCTCTGGAGTCCAAACCAGAACTGGCTGCTCACAATATCTCTGCTCACAGAGTGCCCGCTGCCATAGGGTGGCTAATGCTCGCTTACCCATCACCGCATCATTTGTTTTCCCTTGGTGGTTTTTCATAGAACCATAGGATTGTTAAGGTTGGGAGGGACCTTGAAGGTCATCTAGTTCCAACTCCCCTGCTGTGGGCAGGGACACCCCTGTCACACTAGCCCAGGTGTGCCACCCTGATATGGCATCTGTTGTTGGGGCTTCCCATTTGCAGCCCATCTCATGAAATAGGCAGCTGAGTTTAAACCATGACAGATGATTTCTGGAACTTGCTGATGCAGCTTTGTTAGACACCAGCTTTGTACCTGTCATGGGCTAAGCCTGGGCTGGTCACTAAAAGACTGACAGATGAACTGTATTAACCCCTCTCCCATGCCAAAGCAGAAGGGAAAAGGAATAAGGCAGAGACTTACAGATTGGAAAAGAAAACTAAAACAGCTTTAATAAACAATAGTAGTGCTGATAAGGAAATAATGAAAAAACATTCAAATACATACAAAATCAGTACTGAACCCAACTCCTCCCCGCAACAGCAGTCCCCATTGATGCTGCAGAGCAGTTAGCACTGGGGAACTCCCAGGCTCAGCGGCAGAGGGGACCTGGACACAGGAGCTGGTCAAGATCGGGATTGAAGGCAGAAGAATGGAAGGAGACCTCCTCAGATATCAGCCATTGAGGAAGAGGTTTTAAACTCCATGATCCCTCGGCTTTGTACTGAATATGAAATATATGGAATGGAATAATTTTGTTGGTCAGTTTTGGGTCACCTGTCCTGTCACTTCCTCCCTGCAGGTGCAACTTTTTACTTCCTTGTGACAGTTTTACTTCCCAGCACCTCCTACATGTTACACAAGATCGAGCAGTGACTTTGGTCAGTACAGGAGCAAGTATCAGCAAGAGCCTTTCTGCATACCATCCCTGGCAGGAACTGTAAATATCAGGCATTATCACTGCCAGTAGCAGGCACTGTCTACAAAACACATGCTGCTAACTTCAGAAATTGCAGCCTCTTAGAAGAGACTGAGCTGAAAAGTAAAATCACTGAGCAGGATTGGTTCTGATTTAGCTCAGACCAGGACATTACCCTTCCATCTGTTGTCTGCACAGTCACTTTGCCATCGCTGCTTTCTGTTATTTCAGCTTCAACATACGCTTTCTTCTCATCAGGAACCCAACATTTCTTCTTCCCTGTGAGATGAAGGAGACCAAGGGTTCACAGATTTGTGTCAAACAGTGACAACGTGCCCAGCTAAGCAATATTGCTGGGTTTACTTTTTCTGCCCAAATAACACTGAACCTCTGGGATGGCAGCAGATCAGCAGTGCTGGGGAGATGCCTGCTAAAACAGAAAGGAAGCATAGGACTCCCAAATGTTTTCTCCCCTTTGAAACCACCAGTTGGTCCCCTCAAGATCCTTCCAGCACAAGGTGTCAAAATATTTCACAAATGCTGGCTAAGCCTCAGCCTTCACGGGAAACCCGTAATTATTATCACCAGTGTGCAGATGGAGGAACTGAGATCCATGCCCAAATTAAGGCATTTGCTGAGAAGTCAGAGAAAATTGTGATCTGAGTCAGGAATTCTGCCCACATTATCTGCCTGCCAGCTATAAGATTTAACCTTATTCCTGCACATTCTTCTGAGGTTTCTCTTGAAAAACAGCAATATTAATAACTCGCAATGAGATATGTATATGGCTTTTTAGAGTTTGAAGCAGCTGCACTAGTTTTTAGGCATCTATTCTAAATAGCAAAATGCTGCGGTTACTAGCGTATTTATGCTTGCTACTACACCTCAGGGCTCATAGAAATTCTTCTCATGAAAAAGAATAGAGCAAACTAGGAGCTAACATCAGATTGTCTTACAGCCTGTAAATCAAACAGATGTACAGGCACAACATAAAGAGACGTCTAGTTGGGCCACAGAATCTCTCTCATTGCAATGACAGGAATGTTTGGCATTTTTCTTTCAAACAGACAGAAAGGTCACCCTCCATTTAGCAGAGCAGTACAAACACACCTTGCTTCAAAATCTAGTCAGTTACCATAAATCTAGAGATTATTTCTATTTAGTACTACCTGGGTTTTTTTTAATAGCTTTACAGAATAAAGAAACTAGAATTTCACTGAACCTTAAACAGCAGCAGTGAAGCAGCGACAACGGAGGCTTTGCATCCTGCTTTGCTCTGCATTTCCACAACTCCATGTGGTTATAATCCTTATCCCTCTTAATCAGCCACTGGCAGCATAACTTGTGGTGCAACTCACCATCGAAAGCGACGGTCTGTGCCTTCATCAGCTCCTTCTCACTCTTCCGAAGGAAGGGCGCAGCCTCCCCGAATTCCGACATGTCCATCATCTTGGCAACAGTTCAAGGTGGCACAGCCCAAAGAGGAAAAAGTAAGGGACCTGGTCTACCAAAGAAAGGGGGAAGGAGAAGCAAATAAATATATTTTGTGGACAGTCTGAGGTAGTACAAAACAATTGTGCACAATGTGGCAGGTGGCTGATTAGTGTGATGATTATTTTGAAACCCTAATACCTAACACACACCCAGGGCTACTGCACCCTTAGTTAAATCCTTCCCTGGCTCAACTTATTTAGAGCCATTCAGATCCTGGTCACAATTATCTCCCCAGAATTTAATCTCGTCTTTGTGGCTAGAACAGTGCTTAAGAGAAGGAGATAAACGGGCCACTTGAAGCTGTGGTTTTAAAAAACACTTAGTGAGCACCTATTCTGGCCCCTTTCTCATTCACCTGGGCACAGTATACTCTCCAGCACTCTCCCTGGGGCCGTGCCACTCAACCCCTTCAAGCATCATCGCAGACAGACATTTTCTGGGAATCATGGAGCAGGATTTTACTGCTGCAAACTGGGAACTGCTGCAAGGGCGTGTGTGTTACACCCTTGGTGAGGCTGCAGGGACATGTGCCCACGTTCATGCTGGAGAAAGCCAGCACTGGAGCTGGAAACAGCTCTACTCCCTGCAGCACACTCCTCTGATCACAGGAATTGGCATGTTAGAAAAACCCAGACTAATGTGGCTTGAGGAGGTCCTGAGCTGGTACAGCTTCTCAAGTTGCTGGTACCTCCAAATTCACCACCTCGGGTATCCCTCTGCAGCAAGGGATGGCAGAGGGCAAGTGTATCTGCAGTATTGGTGCAAGCACTTCATATTTTTTTTAGATTGATTTCAGTTTATTAGTCCAGCTTCACGCCTACGCTTGTTTTCTCAGTGACAAAGCCATGGTGTTTAAGGCCTTTTCTGATGAAAGAGAAGATAGGTGACATGAGTGTAAGTAAGACTTATTTGCTGGGTTTCTGCTGCCAAGCAATTAGTTTGATTGTTATGTACTCTCTGAAGTGATCATACAGATAAATGGTTGTTGTTTGAGTTTTTGTTTGTTTGGGGGTTTTTATAATACACAAACATGCACATATAAATACTTACACACATATATATTCGTAAAATACTCAGGGTGCCGTCCAGAGAACATCTAAAAGACGTTCCACTGCTAAAGGTGTACACACACACACTCTCATACAGTTTAAGAATTTCAGATCTTTTTACTTTAAAGTCAATACATCATTTGATTACTATCTGAACCTGTGCAAGTGGCCCTCAGATATTACCTCTTCCCTTATTTCATTTACTGTGCAATATCCAGAGCAGCTGGACAAATTTTCAAGAGACCTACAAAGACAGACACTGTAGTCTTTCAAAGCAGAATTCAATTTGTTTCTAACAAAATACTAGTAGGGGTGAAAACACTTCATAAACCAAGGTAGTTTTTTTTCAACACATTCCTCCTGGGGAATGTAAAGCACTAAGAAAGCAGAGCTGCCAAACATTTTGCATTCAGCCCTCTCCCACTGCAGCAGTACAACCCTGAAACCTTCTGTCTTGTTGCTGTAAAGTAAAGTTTTCTTCCTTAGAACTAGTCTTAACTTTTTTCTTTTTTAAAGATTAAGGGCCTACATAAGTACAGCTATCACTAGTTATTTTTACATCATCTGAGCTGACCAAAATGCCCAGCTGGGGACACAACTCAAAGGCAAAGTCTCTCCCACAGGGGGTGTGTTTTAGCTCCAGTGGTGCAATGAGTTACGTCAATTTGTACGTTTAAACAGAGCAGCATTAGAGCATATAAGTGTCATTTCACATTAAACATACAAAGCCAGAGGAAGTCCTTCTCTGTTCATCTCTAGGACTAAGGACACATTCTCACAAGTGCTAATATACAGCAAAATACTCTAAACTGCTTCTGTGCAACCTAGCTCCTTTTGCAGACCTCTTAAAGACAGTTACTCAGCTCTCGCCTAATTTATTTTTTTTCCTCCCTGTATATATATATTCAGGGGGAACTACTACATGTGGTGTAAAGCAGCACTATGACAACTGGGAGAAAATCCCTTTTTCTTCAGGAGTCTCACGTGCTTGGAGTTAGGACAGAGCCCAGGCAGCGCACATGCAGAGAACTCAGTGAGGCAGCTCCGTTGCCAGACACGAGAAATAGAAAATGTTGTTTAGTTTACGGTCATAGGGTTATTTTTAAAAGGCCATATAGCTGGGAAAGACAGAGCAGAGCTAAAGACGTTTTCTTTGCTTTCAGTCTGTTCTACCTTACCACAAAAAGAGCTGGCCCTTGTGTATCAGCTTTGGAAAATCCTTGAACGCACCTATACTGTGTAGAAAGCCAATATTGTTATACAAATTCTAAGCAGCACACCCAAGAACACCAATGATTTAGTGGTCTGCTGAGACTTAGAAAGGAGAGACCTCATCTTTCACTGCTGGAGCTGTTGGAAGAACTGTTCTAGTGATGATGACTCGTCTGCAATAGCAATGACAGCAAGCATTGCCTGCCTTTGAAACAGAACCTGGTCACTCTCCAGTGGTTGTAACTCAGGTTGGATTAAAGAACTCCTTTGACCAACGAGCTGCTTAAAACTACAAACTGCATAAGCCATCACCTCTTGCAGATGATGTCAGAAAACATGACTTACAGGTACTGGCTGATCAGTCCACCCAGATACATAATTACAAGGGACCTCACACTTTCCTCGGTGGTTATACTAGCTGGCTAAATGAACGTGCTGATGTTAGAGAAGAAACCTGTATTTGCCATCCTAGCATTCAAGCAGCATTGCAGGACAACTAACATAGGCTATATGTTTAGTGAGATTGCTATATAAGTCTTAAGCCACACGAAAATCTTAGTCACATCGAAACCACAGCACAGTGTTAGAGCACATCTGGCTACCCACATTTAGAAGTGAGAGAGGTTGGTACTCACCCTGGAGAGCACACAGAAAGTGTCACGATGACGCCTCGTCCAGACTTTATATGCCCCCTATCTCAAGGTCACTGGTGATAACTGTTTAAAGGCATCTGCAGTTTTCCTCCATGCCTATATTTGTCCACTGGATCCTGAGTGAGGAGACAATGCCAGAGGAGGGGATATGTGTGGCTGCACCCTAGCAAAGGGGAGGGGGTCAGGAATGTCAGTGGGGAGCATCACACTCCTCGCCTGCCACCCCTCACCACACCATTCTTGCTCCATGACTTCATGGAAGAAGCTTTTCCTGCCTTTGTGTTTTGACAGGGGCAAGTATTGCTTTTCGAAGTGCCTTGGAACTTAATTACCATGGGGTGGGGGAAATTAAGACTATTTAGATGTAGCTGCCCTAGAATATAAAAATCAAAGCTTCCTGCACAAGGGACAAGTGGTTTTAAAGGGAATTTGGTTACATGAGCCAAACTGCCTTCAAGCAACAAAGAAAGAACGTGAGTTCTCGCATCCCAGTCAAACGCTTTATATCCCCCCCTTCTTGGACCTTTGAGGTTTAAAAACCAAGCCTATAAGATCGGCTTGGAGATACACAAGTATTACCCAGTTTACAAACCAGGCAAGACAGAGAAGATATTTGAGAATATAGTGATTCTGCCTGGAAAATGAATCACAGATAATGAAAAAGGAGGCATCAATTTTTGCTTAGGAAACTCATTTATGAGACCAGGTTTAGGCAATGTCTGGTCTTCTTACCATAAATTTATTTTTCCTGTAAAACAGGCACCATAAGCAACTCAGGTCTCATTTCACTTCAATCCATAAATAGCAAAATAACTGACACGTCCAGATTGATTTGCTTTTACCAGCATGGTTAGATATATAGGTTTCCTTTGGTTCTAGCATAAACTGAATATAAAAGCACAAAGTAAAATAAATATTGTGAATAATGCTTGTTGGCCACAAGGGAAGATTATATATTAAGGCTTTAGAAAACTCAATTCCGAGGAAGCAAGGGGGAGCAGGGGAGGGAGGTTATCCACAACTTTATTGAAATCTTAGATCCCTGTAGGAGAAAATAGTTTGGTTCGTGACCAGGCAAGAAGAAAAATGTTTGCATACCAAATCTGCTATTTTTAAAGCTGTTGTCCTGATGACTGGCCAGCAACAGGTTGCAAAGACAAAGCAGATTTGTAAGAAACAGAGGGATTTATGGAACTGAGACACTCAGAGACGGGAGATTGATGTGGCAGGTCTGAGGATCTGAGTGCTTTAGTAACCTGCTATTTTTAGCATTTGGAGGATGCAACCAAGAGGCAGAGAATCACTACTGCTTTTCTAGAGATGAGCCCACCTCCAGACAGGCTTAAGTTGAGGAGAAGGCCCTCTCCTAAAGCTGGGGATGAAGCTTTCAGTCCCAGTTGGGATACATCTGTGGAAGGAACCGTCGACTGAGCTGAAGCGCAGTGTGTGTCACGCTCCAGCGCTTGACTGATTGTCAAGCTCTTCTCTCCTCAAACCAGAATCACTTCCTACCCCTCCTAGCCTGCTGCTTAAGACATGTCTCACAACATGGATGTATGCCGAGGTTGGATCTAACTCATCATCCTTTTGGTTTGTATGTGGCAAAAAAGAAAAATAGAGCTAGTGATCTCAGCTGCTTAGATGAGCAGTGAGTGACTGTCATCACGTAATTTGAAACAAAATGAATTGCATGCATCACCAAGATTTACGGACACTGTTAATCTGCTCTAAAATCTGAGAATATGATTATTTCATGCCACAAGGGTATAAATGCACAGATATGGTCTCCCTCCTGCTTTTCTCTCACATTGCCAGTAGCTTTACTTCTAAACACAATATTCCCATTACTGCCTACTTTGCTTAGAAGGCATCTTTTTTTACAAATAGACTGTTATCACTTACATTTTTTCTGTTCTACAGATATTCAGCTTTCATCAGCCCTGCATGAACACCACAATCTCACTCCCACACCTCCCTTTTCTTTTTTGGGACTGCAAACAACTGTTTCTGCAGCTGATGCCAATGTGGTTTCAGTGCTTGT